ACCACCAGTCATCTTTTGACTTGTCTGGGCTGTTTGTGCTTTGGGTAGGGACTATCGCAGCATGCGTGGTACCACGTGCAGTTGGACTTTGCTTTCCAGAGCTGAAAGAGTAGTAAACTCCGTTAAAAAATCAAAACCTAAGGGGATATTTGTTTTTCACAATTTACGGCATTTTCTACCTTTGGACCCACCAATTTCACATCTTTTTCTGTTCTCACACACAACAATACTGATGTTCTTATACTTTTCTAAACATGACTTTATACCAGGCAGCACTGCCAGTTTTCCGCAGAGGGCTTCTGCTCCTCGCCGCGCGGCGGGCTGAACGAGGAGCGGTCTTCCCAGCGCCTGTGGCTCTGTGCGCCGAGCCCAAACCTGCAATTCTGCAGTCAGCTGGACCGGCTCCAGCAGCGCCGTGGTGTTCCATTTGTGTAATTAATACAGCTCCTAACAAGATGACTGCGTATCTAAATGGTAGACCGGTACTGACTCCAGGGAGCTCTCGCGGCTCATCCTTATAAAGCAACTCTTTAGGTTCCGAAATAAATGCATGGTGAAGCCTTTCTTGTCACTGCAGGGTAACCTTCTCATAAATGGCTCTTCTGTGCCACACTTGTGATCTCACTTTCTGTCAAATGTTCATATTTCAGTCTAACCCTATAAAACTAGGAAGTTAAATGCTTTTTGGCACAGACACGTTTAGCGCGGTGTCGTCTTTTCAGCAGCATCTGCTTCTGCAAATAGCAGTGATCGATTTTTGTCTTCAGCTGCCTGTTATCAAAATCTTAAAGATATAGCAGTGTGATTCTTGTGTTGAATTAATAGCAGGTCATCTTTGGAAAGATGACACTGTTGTTAAGTGCCAAGATTGACAAAAAGAAATCAAGTTGTGCGGGGATGATAACTGATGAGGTGTAATGTCTTTCTGTCTCCGGCAGCGTTTCTGTCGGTCTTGCTGCATGCTCACCCCTACTGAGATCATAGCACCGACTAAAATTCCAGACATTTTACATCTGTATTCTGGATTTTTTTCATTGATATTAACTTTTTTCCCATTCTTTGATTGTCAGTTAGCAATCTCTATTTTAATCAGTTAAAAACCAAAACAACATTAAATAAAGGTGCAGTGTTACATGTTGACGTGTAGAAATGCGCTAAAATTGGTGGCTAAATGTTGCATGCGTTTGGAAGGCCTGAGGTGATTGCAAGGTTAGAGGTGTCTGGCAGTGGGTGTGAGGAGCGTGAGTCGCAGAAGAGCTTGGCTTGGCTGGAGGTCATCGGTCCGATTCCCAGTGCAATGGCCACGACCAAGTGCAGCGTCAGATCCGGTGGCTCAGGGCCTTGCACAGTCGCTCCAGCCCTGCGCTGTTGCACAACCATCCCTGTTGTGAAAGCTTTCTTCCTTACGTTCAGCCGAGTCGCCCCTGCTGCAGTTCAGACCGTTCCTCTCGCCCTTCGGCTGCAAGGCTCTGATGGCCTGTTGGGGTGGGCGACAGCAGCGAGAGCCTCTCCTGCCCTCCCCAGGCTGAACAAACCCCCTTCCCTCCCGCCCTCTCAGCGTGGCAGAGACCCCTTCGGTGTCCGGCAGCCTTCTGCTGCAGCCCCCCAGCTTTTCAGTCACTTGTTTGTACTGGTGTGGCTGAAAATCCAGTTGTACTCTTCAGGATAATAAACTACCACCACCACTTCAGGTGCTTCCTTCTTTGTTTCATTTCTGCATGAAAACAGCAGGTTTATTAAATAAAGCTTGGGTTTGGATATACCTTTCAATAATTCAGTGACGCTACAATAGGTTGTTCAGTAGATGTAACTAGTCGTTTACAAATATTGCAGTTCTTGGTAAAATACAAGATGTGGGGAAATGAGCATGATTATTTTAAGTGGCACTCTGAATTAAGCTCTGGTATGAACAAACAGTCTTTTTTAAAAAAATAAGTAAATAAGAAAAAAACGAATAAGCCAATGTAATTGGAGTGAAACACATGCTTTCAGAGTCTCCTGTGCAGCAAACAATTGTTTTGAAAACATACAGTACAAGCCTGATTTAGATTTTCTCTCTTTTTTTTCCCTAGGAAGCCTGAATTACTGAGACCTAGGCTGGCTGTCAGTAGGCTGTGTGTAGATTAGCCTAGGTAGTTACGAATTCCTCTGTTTCTACAAAATTTGTTTGTTTTAAACATTGCCACGATTGGCCATAACAACTTACCGCCTGCTTCAAACAGGCTGGACTGCAGCAGAATACAAGGAGTGTATTTACTTCATTCTAAATAAATGTTTTATCGCTTAGCAGTAATTGGATTGCTATTGTATTTCAGTAATTATTCCCTGTTTTCCACTTCTCAGGCGTGTTCCCTGACTGACCTTCACAGAGCCTGTCTGAAGGTGTCTTTTTTGGTCTAATGCTGTACGATGAGTTTTTTGGGTTTGTTTTTTAAAAAAAGGGGAACTACTGCCAAGGGTAGAATAATTTGTCTTTGCTCCAGTTGTCATGGTGCAAAAGTATAAGCACTTCAGTTCATGCTTGAGCTTTTAGCTGACCCTGGAGAGGCAGTACGATGCAGTGCTTTTTCAAAATGCATCATGATATTTCAGGCTGTGTAGGACCACACTTCTCAGTATCACAACGCAAATATCCGGCCAAGAGTTCTCATACTTTGCGGAAATTTGTTCTGTATTTAATATGTCTGTAGACAAATAACTTCCTAAAGTATCTCATAGCTGACTGAGGAATTGATACGCTTGTCTGAGGATCAGAGAGAATCTGCCAGGGAAGTTCTGCATCACTGGATGGCAATTTTATGTGCAAGAATAATATTTGGTGATTAAACCTTAATGGGTTTCCAGAGTAGCTAATATTTTTTCAGGAGGAAAGCACTGCTGAATGTCCTTAGTGAGGACTGTCTTGTGATAGCCTGCCTTCTGTACAAGCTCTTGTAGGAGAGCCTCTGCGTTATGCGGACGCGACAAACCCATCAAAGGATGGCTCCATCCCCTGTGTGCTCTAAACTTTTGGTTGATTGCCTGCCTAACAGATTATATTTATTTCAAATGTATGGCATTTGACAGTGAGTTTATTTCCAGTCTGGAATTAGGCTATTCTGATGCCATTTTCTGTTAACTCTAGTCCTAATCCAGCTTTCTGAAAATGATGGTTTCTGCATTGCCTAAAACATACGTTTCAAGTATGAGTAACCTACTCCAGTGTCTAGAGAACCATATTTTATCAGAAGAAAAACATTTTACTAGGTGTTGTTAAAGTGCTTCCATTAAGCTCACAGGTTTTTGTGAGGCATTTTATCATAAAGAGCAGCACAATGGCATTAAGCTGCAAGTAGTATTTAGCTGTGTTTGCAGCTGTCCTGGTCTTGTGGTGCAGCCCTTTTAAAGCATGTTTGCTCTGCAAGCCTGCCTCTTCATTTGGATTGAGTCTTTTTACAAGATAGTAGCTGCACTGTAACTCACAGGACAGGCTGGTGTTAAGTGTGAGTAGTCTGGGCAGTCTCTGGTGCTCTCGTAAAGAAATCTTCCTTTGGAGCTACTGAAAGTCTTTCGGTCTTGGCTTGTTGTGAAATTAAAGTTTGTGTTCTCTTCCTGTATTGCTTTTTATGCTGTCTGTGCTAGGAATCAGTATTTTCATCACTTCCTTCCCCGATGCGCTGTCGTCACCCTACAGCTGAAGCTGCCTTCGTTCGTGGAGCCCACCTCTCCTCTCTCCAAGCAGCGCTGGGGATCTGCTTTGATTTGGGACCTTGTGGCCTTGCGTTTCTTCCTTCAGTGGTGGAAACCTGTTTGCTGCCTGGGGTGATAGATTTATTTGTATGTAACGGTAGTTAAATCACGTGAGCAAGGATTCGGATGGTGTGATGGCTGAAGGAAGAAGGGATGCATTAGTGCTTGTACCTCTAATCCCACCAACTACCCAACATACCCGGGCACCCTATGAGGATGTAGTTTTACTAGCTCGTTGCTCTTCATGGATCAGCAGCATTCTTAATTTTCTTTTAACTTCTGCTCGTTCTAAAGAATAATTTAGACAAATGAGAATAGTATAAACCTAGTTGTGCTAAAGCTTTGTGCTCTTGGCCATATCCTTTCTTCTCCAACCAGTACGGGTGAACTCTTTGTTACTGAGAATGGTGCTTCGTAGGCTTATGAGACCTGCTCTTAAAAACCAAAGTATTCATATTTAGGGGGTTATTTTTACTCCTCTGTCTCTCTTTGTACCCTTGCCTGTTTCTTACTAGCCCAAGTTACTTAAATGCAGTCTAGAATTGGATGGTTAGTAGAGACACATATGGCTTATTCCAGTAATCCACTAAGAAAGTGTGTTTGGTGGAATTAACTTACAAAAAGAAAACTAGGGCAGTAAACTTGAAAACTAACTGACTGCTTATAAAAAGATGAAGAGAAGCTTTGCAAACTAATTAATCCTTTCTACCCAAGAAATGTAGAACTTGACTACTTCTACCCAAGACAAATTACGTGATATTTGTATGGTAGACATGATCTTTGAAAGCCTCACTTTTGGAGTGAGGCTGGATGGAACCTACTGTTCCGTTCATAAATAAAAAGATAAGTTTCTGCTTGTAAAACAATGCTGTTTAGTTTGGGAACTTGGCTTATTTTGCAGTGCATGGAACCTGGCTGGGATGAAAAAACTCAACTTCTCTAGCAGGTAGCAGTTTAGTTCTAGCATTCGGTGCATGAAGCTCGGTTACCTGGTAGTGTGCTTTGATGGGAGATTGCAGGTCTAGAGGCCAAGGCCTCCAGCATTGCAATCATTTGTGTGGTGGACTTTAAACTTCCCTTCTCCAGTTTTCTCGCTGTACAGTCAGTTTTATATTTGAAAAGCTGATGAAAAAACAGAACTTTAGCAGTACTATGTGATTTAGTGTGTGCTAAAAAAAATAAAATCACTTTTGATGTGATGATGTAAGGCAATATGACTGAGAATATATTTTTCCAAACAATTCTTTAATTTTTATTTTTCATGTTTCCAGGGAGGGATGAAACGATGCAGCCAGCCAAACCATCATTCCTTGAATATTTTGAGCAAAAGGAGAAGGAGAATCAAATCAATAGCTTTGGGAAGAATGTGTCTGGCCAGACAAAAAACTCATCTGATTGGAAAGTACCACAGGATGGAGACTACGAATTTGTAAGCCTATACTTTGAAATTCAATCAATGTGACAATCTTTAAGAGTTTTAGTCAGAGCTGCTGTAAGATTATTTCTTGTTTTGACAGACTAATGGAAACTTGAGGAGATTCTAATTGCTAATGCATTTGGATGGAGCATTTTGAAAAACTCATTTTCTTTAGGTATTTCTCAGTAATCATAACCAGCCATCATCTATATACTTTCCTTGTTTAAAACCAAACAAAAAAGCCTGAGGACATGAAGATACAAGCTATCTTGCTTTACTTCCCCATTATGCATTTAAAATTAAAAAACAGAATTCCAGATGGCAGTTGGAAAATGCAAATCCTGAATGCATAGTTTTAGAACCATTGAATTTCCTTGTTTTTCTCAAGCTTTGGCACTGGGTTTTGTTTTATTATATAAACATTGAGCTTGTCTTCGCTTTTCTTTCAAATCCTCAATTTCAGTCTTCCTAACTAAGGTTCACATACTCAGAATTTTCAGGAACTTTTCAGAGGTCCAAAGGAGGAGCTATTATTCATAAGTTTTATTATTTAATTCTTCTTGTGAGGATGGAAGATTTCTGGTTTGAGTTCAGAATGCCAGAAGATGCATGCTCTGCTGAACACTGTTCCCTCCGCTGCATTTTCTTTCAGTGATACTTTAGCGCAAGCACTTTTTGCTTTACGTGCATTGTGCGCCCTTACGATGTCTGTTCGTGTTGCCCGTGATCCAGGTTGTCACGCTGCGTTCCGTAGTTGGCGAGATTCACTCCACCTTCACAAAGCAGCGTGGAAAGCGAAATCCCTCTGCTAGTCACGACTCGAGGAGATGCTTTACTTTAAGGCAGGAATAATAGCTGGAGCTTTTCATTCTGTTTGTACAGATTGTATAGACGACTGCTGTGACACGTATTTTGTTGTCGTTGCTGCTGCATCTCAAATTTTCCTATTTAGACTGAAAAGGATGGCTAGCTGAGGGGACCTGCTGCATTCTCTCTCATAGCCCTCTGTACTACATTATGTTTCGCCTGAAGGCTTAAAGTCAATGCATAAACATATTTTGCAAAAATAACCTGCAAGCTGACTTGTCAGCCTGTGTATCACAGGGTCTGGGCCAAACACACGATTCCGGTTGAGTCAGATACTCTGTTTATCTCATTCACTTTACACACTGTAACTTCATTTTATGATGAACAATTATTTTTCAATGTGTGGTATTTCCCAGGGAAAGACAGAATGGTTTGGAGTATATTAGTCTTTTGTAGTCTGCAGAAGATGGCCCAAGGGGAAATTTGCTGTAATTATTTTACTTTGTAATTTGCTTGATAACAACTTCAGCAATTACCCTTATTTCCACTGAGTAGGATGTATTCCACCCTGCGTGCCGTGAGGTGCAGGCTACACCCAGAGAGCGGCACAAGCAGTGCGGATGACACAAGGAAAGGTCGGTGCCACTCTAGCAAACAGGACCTACAAGTATTTTTAGAATGTGCAAAGCAACTGTTTGACACGCGTGTGACCTTGTTTACTGATTTCCATTAGTACTGAAGTATTGCCATGTGCATAGATTACCAGTGCGCTGGAAGCAATAAAAGCAAGCAATAAAAGCTAGCAATAAATCGGGCTTTGGGTCACCTTCATATAGTAATTTGTAGAAATTTTGCTTCCCAGCTGTATGTATTTCTCTAGTTCAACTGTGTATGAATATACTGGCGTGTCTTGCATGCAGATTTTCTAAAAGAGCTACTTTCTTTTCTGTAGGATAAGAAAAATGCTTGAAAGCAACCTTAAGAAATACATGTGGGTATTTGTGTATTACTTACCTGAGGGTTAGTAGCAGTAACCTCAGGCTGTGTAATGTATTGAAAGACTTAAGACTGGGTGTTTTTCCTGTTCGGCTAAAAATGAGATCAATTTGGCTAGCTATGGGTAAAAGTCATGTTTATTAATGGTTTATTAATGGAAAGCATCAATGCAATAAGCATTGTGGAATGAGAAAATGTACATTCACTAATAGGTCTATCAAGTACATCTGTCCTAGACTTGCCTGCAGCTATAGCTTAGTTCTGCTTAATTGTCAAATTAGGCAGGTTTGAGCAGACTTTGTCTATAGAGTTTGCAGGATTCCAAGTAAAGATGAGATCAATGAGATACTGGGTGAATACTAGTTCCTCCTGGGCCTTAAGAAATGATTGAAATATTATTGCTTTGTGCTACTGCAGACTAGATAAATATGCCTTGTCTTCTTTTCTGTATTTCTCTCCCTCCTATGTGAGTAGCACCTGGAGTCTCCTGTCTTCAAAAAAAAAGGGGGGGGGGAGCCAATATTAAATTACAAAAGATTTTTGCTCTTTTTCCCTGTAGCAAAACCATTTGACCTTTTCTTGACTAACATCGTTCCTCCAAAGCAGGCAAATAAGACACTATTTATATTAGAAAGGCAATGTCATGTTAGATAAGGATTAGATCGAGTCAGCCCCATCCACTGCAGAGGGGAAAACCCAGAGATCCTGTTCTAAAAGGTGATGAACTGCATTCTTCCCAAACGTGGTGCTCTGGCTATGTCCTGGTTGTGACCTGAGATGGCATAAACCCCATGTATTTCCAGCAGTGTATTTCCAGCCTTGGATTTCTGAGGGAGAAGTTATTATTAACTGATTAGCCAATGCCCGATGGTGTTAATGTTTATCCCCACTCATGTTTGAATAAGGATCTCTAAAGATTTAAGCCCTGCTTGATTATGAAAAATGTTCTCAAGAACATTATGATTTATTTAACATAGGGGAAAAAATACTAACTATGGGCAGAATTTCTTGCTATTAGGAAGAATATAACAAACTCTAATATGAAAATGCTGCAGGGGTAGGCTGTTAATGGGCAGGCTGCATTGTATGTAGAATTCCTAATTGCCATAATCAGATCTCAAATTTTTTTTAGTTGAATTTAATTTTGCCAGTGAACATTAGTCACATACTGTTGCACAGACATAAATTAATAATGCTAGAAGATTTGTTTAGACAATGTCATACATTTTCTCACTTTAATCTTTCAGTAGTACTGTAACATACAGCAAAATTAATTGTGCAGTGTGTCCTGCCCTTAGACACGGCAAACGCTTTGCTTATTCCTATTTTAAAAGCCTTTTAACTGCTCTGAGCACGCCAGTATTCCAGTATCACTTGTGGCTAAAGTGGGATCACTGTTTCTTTATTCTGGCCCTGCTGAAAGGCCTTCAGTCTTGCCAAACCTATTGTATCAGGTACTTGTGGATCATCCAGTCATGAATGTTGTGTATCACTAATCATTTTACTGAAAACCTATTTTGTTAGCAAATTAGCAGATTCCAGCCATTCCTGCCTTATGGTAGCTATGACAGTATGAAACTTTTTCCATTTTATTTCATGCATGTGGTTTCCCTGGGGAAAATGATAGAGCCCCTGTCAATCTTGAATTTTGCCATCATGGTGCAACTGACGGTTTTTTAATGCTTGTAATGTTGAGCTTAAGTTTTGCTGTAGCTCTTATTCATAGTTTTTCATGTATCAGTGAGTCTATGCTAATTAAGTATCCTAGGGCCTTGTTTTGGATGTGGAGTCAAATAGGGCCTGAACTTTTAACAGACACTAGAGCACGAGTACTGCAGGACGTCAAGTCTTTCAGCAGGCTTTACGCAAGGACTTGTAGCCGTTTGCTCCAAAGCTTTTTTGATTCCAGCACCTGTATATCTGCCAACCATTCCTAGCCTGTGTAAGGCAGCCTGTGAAGAACTGTACGGACACTTTTACATTATCTTTTGCTGCTCTTGCTGTCTGTGCTTCACTGGAAGAACACCAGGTGATCGCTGAGTTTTTGGAGGAAGGCATTGCCATTCACCTGCAGGATCTCAGTGGAGGACTGCAACTGTCAGCAGTCCTTTTCTGCACCGGCGATCTCAGACCTGCTGCCGCAGCTCTGGGAAGAAAGCTGACATTCAGAAACAAGGTTTATGTCTCTCTCCTAAGAAGTATCCTGCTTCCTTTGGGAAGACCTTGATTTGTTTGGATCTGCTAAGTCTTGGTGCATCAGACCTTTTGTCTTCCTGCAATTATTGGCAACCTGTTTGGGTCTTTCCTTTTCAGTCCTTGGCTTAATGAAGATCTGCCTTCGCATGTTTTCTCATTGAAGCAGAAAAACTTTGGAACAGAACTTTTTTCCTTACAAAAATAAAATTAACTTATATCCTTGAGAGTGTCAAGGTTTGCAGAAGTGGAAGGAGTAGACATGGCAAATTTCCCAGCTTTCTGTGGAAGATAACTCTTGTCATGGCCTTCATTCACAGGCTTACCACGCTTCAGTCTGCTATGAGCAAACCTGTGTTTCAGGTCTTGCGTTTCCATCCTGTGAGTGCTATTCTCTGCGCTAGCTCATCTTTTTATCTCCCTTTGAGGAGTGTCTTGTTGGCTGCTGATAGGAATTTCTTTGGACAGGAAAGGTGGGCGTGATGCCCCCCAGTTCCAAAACAGACTTTATTACTTCTCAGTGTACACTGTCATCTGTTTCTGTACTGCTGGGGAGGACTGTCCTGCAAGCAGTAGAACTGTTGCTTCTGAAATTTTTGAAGGGCAAAAGGCTGAGCAGGAGTTGTTAATTGCCTCTAATTGGGGAAAAGAATGCTGGTCAGCTGCCGCTTTTGTCAGGGCTGCACAATCAGGACCCTCATGCACAAGCAACGGTTCTTGTTTCCACCTCCTGGACAGAGATGGGCAGAGAAGGGACTTCGCTGAGTTACAGGAGTTGGAGGAAGGGCTGGGGTTTATCCCACAGCTACAGCTCTCTTTCCGGTAACCAGTTGTCAAACCTGTTGCTTCCAAAGTGCTTGGGCCACAGCTTGCTGCCAACGCCTGACTTCTCTGTGGATTGTGCTCCTTAAAATTCATTAATTTTGAAATTAGGCTGCTTTGTTTCAAAAGTGTCTGTAGACCGCTTACTGTGGTCTTTGGTTTTGTGTAGAAGCTCTTGCTGTAGGCGGTGTGTC